TCTTATTAAAAATTATAAACATTAATTATCATAATGAGTCGAGTATAAGGATATACCGTTTAATAATTAATTAAATTTTTCCATCTTGTATTCTACACTCTTCAAATGTATTTATTAAATCAATTATATTTTTTATTTTTTTTTTAATTTTTTTAAAATTTTTTTATTTTTTTTTTTTAAAGTACAAATAAATATGCTTGTATACAACATTACTGTATAATTTAAAAGTACAAAAATTTACATTTTGCTTTATTTATTGATTGTTTGTTTGTTTGTTTGTTTTTGTTTTTCTTTTTGTTTTTTGTTTTTTGTTTTTTATGATTAAATTATTCGCTACTTAGTCTTTTTAATATTATAAAATTACATTGCGAAATTGAGTATCGTTTTGTACCTGTATACTTATTTTTAATACTGTTGGATTAATTGCTTCTCCGATAAACTGAAATCATTGGATAAAAATTAATCTGCTTACCCTCCCTAGTTCTAATATTTATTTATAAAATTTTTCGTGGAGCGGCAAATTTACTTAATTGACGGCAAATTGTAAAAGAAAAAAAAAACAAAAAAGAACGAAACTGTTAAGTATATATCGGCATTATGATAAATAAATTTGATCTTATAAAGAAAATGAGAAATGCATGATTACGTTTATATAAGATACGTAATGATTAACGAAAATGGTGGTCTATCCGTACGTACGTGACTTAATCATTGAAATTTGTCAATTGAGATAAATGTATAAACCCGAACATCTTATCGAAGAAAATGATGGATAATTCATTTATCTATCGGATGCCATTTATTTTCCAATAATCGAATAATTGCTGGATAAATAAATAAAATAAAAATTAAAAAAAAAAAAAAAAAAAAAAAAAGAAATAAAAGAAAGAAATACTAAAAATAATAATAGTAATAATAAATGACAATTTTCTCGGAAAATTCATTCATTGAAATGCAAACACTAGAATGCAAAGCATACGCTTAGATTATGCTTATATTCACTCTTTATATTACGTAAAAACCCGATGAGCTCTCTGTTTACATTGTGCTCGTTCGAGTCTATTTCGCAAGAGTCATGGATTTTGACGAAATCTCTAAGGGACGGCGCTGTGGAGGTAAAATAAGCTCCGTTTGGGACCTTAAATATGCGTTTCTTACGATAGTTAAAGTATGTAAAAATCATATAGTCCGTCGGTATACGATTCAGCAAAGAAGCTTAGAAAATAAATGTCATATGTATTTGTAAATTACAACGTTAGCATAATAGATGATGATAGGTGATTGGGTGGGAAGGGAGGGGTGGGGGCGATTGGGGGGGGGGGGGGGGGGGGGGGGGGGTGGGGGGGGGGGGGGGTTAAGTAGAGCAGTAGAAAACCAAAAATTTGGGGTTATAAAGAGAGTTATGAATAATATAAGAAAGAATATTCGAAAGAAAATGAAATTATTTTAATGTCTTTTTCCGTATCTTACGCTCGTCGCTTGTGACAAGTCTAAAAACAATCTATAAAGCCATCAAATTCTCCATAAATCCGAATATAAATATCCTTAACCTTCTCCCTTATTAGCTACATCGCTTAAATAATCCCTTCAATGACATTTATCAAAATAAGATTTTAACGAGCATAGTGACAGTTTTGGAAGCATTAGCACGAGGAACCTAGATTTTCCTCAAAATCCATGTCTCGCGATTCAAACTTGACGTCCACCGCTAAGTAAACGATTAGGAACCCGAGAACGCGGAGCCAATCCGGGCGTCCGAGTTACTCCGGATCAACGTGGATCTTGACGGGCTCGCCTTTGTGCAGCTGGAGGATATGCTGCTGGACGTTGGCCTTGTATTTGCTGCGATGGGGACAGTAGTAGCAACAGAATCTCGCGGGTTTACCGCACTCGTACTTAATGTGCCGCCTTAGGGTGAAGTCGTGCACGTACGTCTTGCCGCACTGTACGCAGAGGTTCGTTTTCATCTTGGCGCCGCTCGTGTTGACGGCTGATTCTTGGGGAACTTTAGCGGAGCCGGTCATCCAGGAGTTGCCTGAAACGAAGGATCCACGAGTTAGTTGGGAGTCGTGTGCTTTAAGTGGGGATTCGTAGTATTTAAGCGCTTGGAAGCGTCCTCGGCGGTAAAAATCTTAGACGAATAAGGCTATATATGATTAATGGTCAAATTAGTGCTTTCTTAAATCTAAAATTCATTTGTCTATTATTGGCATTGGACGGTGGTTGGCGATCGACATACATTCATGGCTTTTAAACGAAAGATTAGATGAAGCGCAATTAATAATAATATTAAAATTAATCGCAATTTGTTATTTGGAAAAAGTTTGAAAAGCAAACGAGAACGCGGGCAAGGCTTGTTCATTTCCTCTCCTTGACCTCCTCCCTCGTAATCATGAAATTATGAATCTATTGAAAGGCTACTTAGATTATAAATATTTTGTAATTTTGAGACGCGTAATGAATGAAGTTTAGGAATTTTGGCGCATAAAATTATTAGGAGGTGTAGAAGATAATAATATCGCATGAAGGTGGTGATATAAGTTTTTAATAAATAACAATAGTAAATAATGTCTTAGCTAGGAAGCCGAGAATGTTAATAAGTGTGAGAGGTTAACAGAGAAGTGTAGAAGAAGAATTAAAACAATAGTCAATAAAATGCAAAACTAACGAGATATAATAAGGTTATCAAACTAAACTCGTAAGATTTTTCATCTTTATTAATGTGACATAAATCTTACATAATTTAATGTAATGCGTATATCCTCGCTGTTATTATTACAATAAACACGCATTTATTATTCAGCGAATAACAACAAGTATTTTTCATCATTTTCTCATGAATGATATCTTTGACGTATCTCTTACGTTATTAACATTAGTCCTTATAATACAAATTTTTAATACATCTTTTGGGTAAAAATTGATGATTATATACAATAGCAATACAAAGACTCTTTATTCTTTCTTTTGTTAATATTCGAAATAATTTTTCTTTTCGAATCAACTTGTTGGTTGCTGCATCGATCAATGTATTTATAATTCTAGCCAATGCTAAAATTATATACATATTTATGAATTCTATTATATTGTTCTATATTATAGATGATATTCATGATATCTATTGATATTTGTGGCACGTTCGTATCTAATTCCTGATGACGTCGACACAACACTCACTCGTAATTTTGTATGAAAAATAGTTTCTACTATCGATTCTCGTTTCTAAAAGTTAAATATCATTAATTAGCAATGAGAAAATAAAACAACAACAACAACAACAACAACAAAAAACATCAGTCTCGATATAAATTTTGCAGAGTCTTACAATAATTTAAAAAATACTTTATTATGTTATTTTAATAAGGATGTGGAGTTATTATTATGTTTTAATGAAGATTAGATTTTATTATTATAACATTTATTAATAAAATTACAAATATTATAAACCTTTTACATGGTTTCGTATATCCTATCGATTTAATAGAACATTTTCACAACATTCAAGTAAGAACACACAAATGCCTGCAAATCGTATCACGTCAATCGTAACTAAATTCAGCATAAATTTCTGCTTGCACACATAGTTTAATCACTTATAATATTCGAAACCATTAAAAGCAATTGCATTTAAATTATTTAGAGTTATTAAATAAGGAAAGGATGCTGACTAGATATTTATTTTACATTGATTGCACATCCGCACATCCTGTTTTGTTCTGAATAATAAATTCTATATGACTTGTAATGACAAGCTAAACCTTGGCATTTTAATAAATGTATTACTTGTAGTAATTACAATTATCGTTCAATGCCAATGCATTATGATTTTAATACTTTTGCTTGGCAAAAACTAGAATCATAAAATTAATATATAACATATCTTCTTAATCGATTATACGATTCTTTTTCAGGTTTTTCCAATTTAAAAGAAAAAATATAAATTTCATTGAACAAAAAAAAAAAAAAAAAAAAAAAAAAAATTTTAATAAAAAAAAAAAAAAAAAAAAAAAAAAAAAAAACTTAATTATCAAACTGATTTGAACATGACATTAATCTCTTATTCAAGTCAAATCTAATATAAATATTAAAATGATTTCTTTCAATAGATATATATATATATATATATATATATATATATATATTTACTTATTTATATCGATAGAAAAATAAATACATAAGGAAAGCGTAAAACAACAACGAATAACGAATATAACCCTATAAATAATGTATACATGCATGTATTTATGAATGTCTACATAATATGCATTTATGCATGCGCATCATACACGCATTTATTTGGAGAAGCACACCTCAACATAGCTTATATTTTTCTTCTACATAATTTATAATTATTAATACATAACAATATAAGATAATTATAGCTTCTATATTCTTGGTAATACTTATTGGTATTTACTCGTTTGAAATGTGACGAACAAATTGTTTATCGATTATAGCTATACTTAATAATTAATATCCTATTATCAATATTATTTGATACAAAGTTTATATTAATATTTGTTTTTAATATAACCGATATAATATACCGATTGCTCAAGCAAACGAATAATTCATGAATAACAATCTTGTTAACGTTAATACTTCAAGAGAAAATAATATTGTCTCGACGAGCGGTACATGATTATCCTGCACTTACACGCACTCGCACTCTCGCCTTACAATCTCAATATTGTTAATTTATTATGCACATGTGAAATACTTATGTATTTCTGAAACGGCAAATTAAAATTGAAGAAGATGCCGCGATTGAAGTCCCGAGGTCGGCATGACTCAGCGAACCTCCTTACTCTCCTGTTCCAACGAGTAATATCCCTCATTCGAACCTCGTTTCCACCCGCCTCGGGCTACATTAAATCCACACTTCCACGTTCTATCCTCGATCGAAGCGGCTTGAAATATTTATTCGCCTAACTGCAATAATACATACACGAGAGCGCAATGGTACGCGGGTACGAGGGCGTTTGGATACTCCCAACTCCCTGCCTCCTGGGTCGTGAGTCACTCGACATCCTCTACCTACGCTTTACCCGGATCTTATGCCCCTCCCGTCTCTTCTGGCAGTTGTTGATGTGGTATCTGAGGTTGTCCTTGCGCTTGGCCCGGTACGTGCAGAAGGTGCAGCAGAAGCTCGCCGGCTTGCCGCACTCGTACTTAATGTGGCGCTTGAGAGTGTTGGTTCGCATGTAGGACTTGCCGCACTGATCGCACACGTGCTTGTACTTAGGTATCAACTTTCCGCCGATGGTCAGCGACTCGGACTTGACGATGCGCAACTTTATGCGCTGGAGGGACGTCAGGGGCTCGTAGTACTCCACGAACTCCATGTCTGTAATGGCAAAGTAGAGGGGCGAGAGTTAGTGCGAGGGACGGGAGTTGATCGACTTACTGTTCAAGCTCTCTCGGGGTGCTCTGTTCGAGCTTTTCTACGTATTTTATTTATTTATTTATTCGTCCTCCCCCCCCCCCTTACAGACAGTTGTGTGGGTTTTAGGAAGATTGGGAGATACCAAGGCTCCGGAAGGACTCAACTGACGTAAATAATTTGTTGAACGCAAGAGGGACTATTTACTTCAGTTGATTCGCTGTCCGTTAAAAGCAGTGGAACTTTCGCTTCTTGTCTGGTGTGTGTAATAATAAAAAACGTCGTTCAATATTCTTATGAATGTTTTCTTATGAATTTTATATATGCAAATTTGTCGTGAATCTTTTCTCGAGTGATCGACACTTTTTTTAAAGCTCATTTCATTATTTATGGCTTGTGAAAGGCATCGGTCGAAGATAAGATGTCGAAGGTAATAATAATAAAATTACGGATTACCGAAGGACAAAAAACAAATGAGGGGGAGTTCGATTTTATAAAATATTGACATTGTCAGGATTTTAAAGGTTTTCAAATATTTATCACCAAACGCCAGATTAGCGAAAGAACTGACACGTAAAAATGCCCAAAATATTATACAAGTGAGCATTCATTCTGGAAGGCAAATAATGATCTTATATATATACATATATAGTACGGTATAGTAGGTAAAACATTGTCGTAAATAAATAATATTAACGGCCAATATGAGTTATATTCTGTCGGATAAAATTGTGCAGAAGCAAAGAAGAGTTACTGTGTAGACGCAGAAGCTAAAATAAGAATCAATTGACGTGACAATGTTTCAGCTAATTTCAGCTAAGTTTGTCGGGGACTTTGTGAATCTCACATCGAAGGGACATACATGAGTGTATGCTACTCTACAACACTTTTATTACAAACAATACGATAAACTAATCTACATTTGACGAAATGACATGGTTGTAAGCTTGTAATATATTACTTCGCGTTATATCAATCAACGTTTAATATAAATAAATCAATCAATAAATGAACATTAGAATTATTAGCAAATGTAAATTATATTAATTCTTACAACTATTATATTACAATATGTATATTAAGGAGGCTGTAGTCCAATGTAGTAAAAAATAAATAAATAAATAAGTAAATAAATAACTCTGTTTAACTCTCGTTTATACATGTGTGATCTATGACAAAATCAGTGCAATAAAATGTTTACATAGATATTCTAATATTTCCAATTGCCTAACTAAATAAATAATCTCTCGTGATCAATAGTAATAGCATAGTTTTTATTGTATAATTAAACAGATCGTAGATGTACAATAATTTTAGTGAAAGATCATACGTTCAATTAATAGGCAATAATATTAATGGCATTGTATTGCAAAAATTATCTCCATTTGTACATTTTTTTTGTATTCAAAATGAAGGTATGGAATTTTTCACTAAACCCGAGCGATCTAAATTTCGATGCTTTTTTTCATTAAAATTTTTGTATTTACTTCATTTATTTATTTATTTATTTATTTATTTTTTCAATAAACATGTATTACAGACAGACACACATTGATCCTTGTTTAAAATTAATAAATTACATCGACAATGTGTAACGATGATCTTAACTCGCCACATGATTCACAATTACCTGTGAGTGGATGTGATCCTTTCACTCGCACCCGCATTGCATAGAACATAAACACCAATAGATTAATTAACGAACCCATATACGAACAAGCTGCCAATGATTTATGATCCACTGAACTATTGCAGCTTCAACCCACGGAATAGATTTATTGAATGGACCATCGACGGCGCGCGACAACCTGCCTGTCGCGTTACTCTCGCAACTCTTTATGACCAAAGACATCCTGAGGCTCGTGAGCAAGCTGCACGCTTCCTCTCCCCCTCCCCACCCTCCCCCCGCGCGACTATTACGCACCAGGAGCCGCGGAACTAGCTCAGTCCATTGCTCGAAATGGAGGCCCCCACGCGGCCTGTAAGGTCAACGACAACGACGGCTTATCGGCGTGGCAGTTGACCACGTGATGACGTTGTCCTTGCGCTTGCCACACTCGTACTTGGTGTGCCGGCACAGGCTGTGTTCTAACTTACGTTCCAACAGTTGTAGAGACGAGGCTCGACCTCGAGGATCCTGTAGAAGGGCTCGAGCTCGTGTCGCTGGCATCCCTCCACGCGCCCGGAAAAGTATTCTGAAACGGAAAAAGGAAAGGATACGTGAGTTGTAATGGGCGATTAGAGCTATTGACAAGGATGATGATTACGACGACGACTATGACGGCGACGACTTGCTCCGGCACTTTAAAATCACGGGGACCCAGGCATGTTGATTGCGTTACTCGACACGTCGACGCCTTACGCCCTATGGATTCCGGGGATGCTGCATAATGCCGTTCTTCCGAGCTTCGTGTATCTAACTTACGTGTCGTTCCCGACGGAGCTCTACTATCGCTACTATCCCAACCGCCTGAATGTCCGGTCACACATGCAGCTGTGTAATCAGCAAATTATTATCATTATAATGACCAACGGAGGCATCGTCGTCACCATCTAAGTATATAGTATCGCTGTTGCTGCTGCTAATAGTGTTGCCGCCGCTTCTGCTATTGCCGATGTTTTTATTATTTGCATAATTATTGTTATTATTATTATTGTTATTATTATTATTATTATTATTATTATTATTATTATTATTATTATTATTATTATTATTATTATGCATTATTTGTGAGATACGATGGGATGGGACGGTGGAAATTTTTATTTGTTGGATGTTGAAAGCATGTTGCGATTGAGCATTAATGTAAACTTGTTATTTGGTTTATGTTACTGTCAGCGGGTAGATGTTATCTTTGCCAGTGTACTCTGTTGCAATACATCTGTAAATATAAACGACCAGTAAGTACGTAAATTAATGGTTCCTTTTTATTTATTTCGTTCGACAAGAATGATTACACTCTCCATTTTGACGTATAAAACATTATTCAATACTGTTTCAATATAAATACAAACTTTTTATACAAAATGTATCAATAAAATCTATGAAATAAAGATATCTCCGTGAGATATTTATATACACATCACTGAGCCTTGCACTAGAGCTGACATTATTTTTGTTTTACGAAAGTTCTATGTGCCTCAATTATTAAGAGGCGTCGCTTGAAGTCGGGATTAGCCAAAATAAACCGTGTAAATTTAACTTACAATTTTTTTAAACCCAAAAACAAAAACAAAAAAACAATAAACAAAAACAATAAAATACAAATTATGGTATTTACGTATATATTAATTACGTATGTATTATATTAGATACAATTTTACGCTAAAATTTCCTATGAATCACGTTATGCTGTATACATAAGTTATACTCATATATCAGTTCTTCTTATTAAAAAAAAAAAAAATGATATTGTCTTTTAAACAATTTAACTGACATTCTAACATTAGTAGTTCTAAATTAGTAGATTAATGAAAATTAAGATTTATATAAAATGATAAGTAACACAATGAGCATCGATTTAATACAGAATTCCACTGTAAATGTAAATTCTTTGTCTTCTTTATTAACGAATGGAATATTACGGTCGATTAAAATGTTTTTATCGTTACCATTGCGAAGCATACGAGTAACATATCTAATTTTAATATAATGTACAATCATTACAATTATAAATAAATTTTTACATTATTAAAAATACTCATTCAGCAATTATAACTAAAGACCCATTGCTTTTTAAAAAGAAGTCCCATTGATGTATAATTTACGTATATCGATTGTGACTGATTTAACGATATGTATATTGAGTTTAATTTCCTTATTAGGATAATTATAATGTTTTATACACATGCATACGCGTGCGCACACGCACACGCGCACACTTGCTCCTTACAGCCTCCTCAGACGAGTCCCGCAGCCCCCGACGCATTGGCAGTCAGTCACAAGCTGCTTGGCTTCGTAAAACCGATCCATCCGTTGACGAGGAGGTCGAGCTTAGCTGCTGGATCCTAGATCGCCAGGCTCGAGCTCGAAGCCCTTGACCTTGTGCCGATGGGCTATGTGGGTGAGGAGGTGTGTCCTGTACTTGGCCATGTAGGGGCAGTGGCTGCAGGCGTACCGGGGCGGCTGCCCGCACTCGTACTTCTTGTGCCGTATAAGGGAACAAGCGCGTTTGTAGGTCTTGCCGCACTGCTCGCACACGTTGCCCCGTAGCTGATGAGTTTCCCGCTGAAGCTGGACGGCACCGGGGAGCTGGTCGAACTCGAGGCAGTCGACGAAGTACAGCCCTGCAAGATTAAGGATGGTCGCTGGATTAGTAAGGGTTAATTAGTAAATAGGTGGGCTTAATCCTCGCGTAGCCGCTTTTCTTTACTTTGCTTTGCTATTTGCGTGGGTATGTACGTAACTTGAGGGGAGGCGCACTTCGCCCTGAGTCAATCAGGTCAATCAGATCAATCAGACCTAACTGTTATTTATTTATTTTTAGTGGTCGTATTTTTGCTATCACTCACGGAAAAAAAAAAAAAAAAAAAAAAAAATCCGTCACAAAATAAAATATATTAAGTGTAAAATATTGTCAAAAGTCCTGTAGTGTTCGGAGTGTTCGAAATAATCTAAGGAATATGATTAATAAGGTTGTTAACAAGTTTGATTAACAAGTTTACGTTATTATGTACAACGTTTATTTGTTTATGTCGTTAAATTTTGTAGATTGTAAATGGAAATTTAAAAAACGTAAAATTTTGCAAAATTTTTATTGCACATTATTCTTTTTTGATTGCACTTTAAGAAATAAATGATAAAAAAATTACACACGCAGGCACCCGCGCATATACACACACACACGCGCGCGCGTGAGCGCGTGAGCGTGTGCGCGTGCGTGTATTAAAATTTGTGTGTAAAATTAATAAAAAATAAAAAAGAAATTCATTCGAAAAATTTACAATTTATATGAAATAATTCGATTATTTATAAAAATCTTCAACTCGGAAAATATTCAAACCAAATTTTTACTTCCTAATTTCGTTTAATATAATTACAAGATAATGTAAATTAATATTCCTTGCAATAAAATTTTCTTATATTTAAAACGTTCTAATAAATTGACTTGCAATAAGTCTTATATTTTTCGACGATTATTGTCATACATTATTAGTAAGTACGTAGTTGTTAATAATCGATTAAAAAAGGGCTTTTTCATATTCATTTAATTAAATCACCATTATTATCGTTAAAAACGATTCACTTTTTCATGTATTTTGTTATGCTTGATTAAATAATTCAATTAAATAAACTAATCTAGTTATTTTTAGTTCTAATGTTTCATGTTTCATAATACATTGTTGTGACGGCAAATTCAAATTTCCAATGTAATGTTTTTCGTAGTGTATTTATATGAAACAAAATTTATTTATGCTCTACTGATGCAGGCAGATACCTTTTTTTCTAGATAGGCTTGCGTTTTCCATATATTCTGCACAATTGTAGTAAGAAAATTTCGCAATTTTTATAACGATCCAAGGATTATTGTTTTTATTATTAAATTTATATGCTTAGCCTAATCCTCTTGCACATAATTAAAACTTTCATCCGTTGTCGTTTTTTTTTCTCTGTACTTCAAAAGATTTTCAGACTACAAGTCATGTGTACCATCATTATAATCATATTTCTGTAAGGAATTAACAATATTGTCTGTAACATATAAAAAAAAAAAAAAAAAAAATATATATATATATATATATATAGATTAATGATATTTCTCATTGGTCCCGAATGTAAATTTCAATGATAATTACAACTACATATTAAAATTATATAAAAAAAATGCATTACATGATTTTTATTAAGTATTGCATTGAATTATCATCTTATGATCTGATAAAACTTGAATCCTTCGAATTTTCGGAGCACATAGTCAAATCTAAAAACAAAGCACAATTAATAATCAAAAAGTAGGCTAATTTCAATTATATTTTAACGTAAAAAGATAAATTAATGCTAGTACCATTAGTTTTAAGTAATTAATAATTCTTACTTGGAATAAGGTTATTGAGCAAAGTAATAATTCCTTTCTATTGTATACTACACACTCGAAATTTATTTTATAACGATGAAATAAAAGTTTGTTAATTAACTCTTAAAATTAAATCATTAAATAATTACACTATTTCATAATATTTACTAATTATTTTATAAGACCAAAAAATTAGAGACATTAGCTGAAATATGAAAAGAATATGTATCTTAATCGATCATTTTTATTTTTAAATCACTAAGAAATTGTTTTAATTTAAAATATAAAAGTTCGTTTTCACTCATTTACTTATATTGGAATCAAGCTTTCTTTTAAAATAATTTACTTAACAATATTGCAATTATTAAGTATCTTAATCGTCGAACAATTTGACAACAAATTGAATTATCTACAATCGTGTCTATGATGAAACGTCGACGCTAATTGCTGACTAATTGCTTCAAGCTGCAAATTCAAAGCGTGTAAAGACTTTAACGTCGTGGGCCTTGTGGCAGCACAGAATGTGGTTATTCGTGTCCTTTATGTCTTTGCTCCGACAGGAGCAATAATAACAGCCGATCGCCGTGGCTTTTCACATTGATGGCAAACACAAAAAGTGCTTTTGTAGTCAGTAATGACAGACACGTGGAAACCTAAAATTAAAAAAAGGTATGACGATTAGATGAATTATTGCTTTCTCTCAAGAATAATAATGATTAAAATTCTTAGTTGACAAATGATTGTTGAATATTAAAAACATTAAAAAAACAAAGAAGTGAAAATTTATTATTTTTGTCCGATATAATAAATGAATCTATATTCAAATAGATACGAAATTCAAAATATACGCAATTGTAATTTATAAGTCACGAATTATCGTTTATGGCATTTCATAATTTTCTAACAATTCAATAAAATAAGCAGTATTTTAATTATCCCAGTACTTACTTTCACTGAAATTATTGTAAACATGGTGAAGATTAATAATTCCATCGATAATTCCGTACAATATATATATATATATTTTGTTGAGTAAAAATTATATTAAGCACAATGAAACTTAGGAACATTATACATTTATTATTATTATATATATATATATATATATATATATTTTTTTTTTTCTTTTTCTTTAATTCATACATTGTAAAAATTATATTTACATATAGAAAAATTGCATTACAATAATGGCGATCGAGAAATCATGAAGGTGTTATGTGACGTAGAATTTCCAAAATCCACATAGTACAAGTGAATTTAGTAATTAACGTTCTTATCACATACGCATTACAACAAGATATTTTCATTTTAATACCAAATGGTTCTCTGCTCTTTAATTTTCAATTTTCTCACGTACGTGAGAAGACATTACTATGTCTTTGTTTATTAAAAAAAATCAAATGAAAATCGTAAAAACATAAACGGTTACAATATTGATTAATCGTATTTAAAGACTATTTTAAAATATAATTTTGTAATGTGATTGTAAAATAATTGATTCGTTCATTAATATTACGACACGCGCGGCTGTAATTATAATATCTGCATTAAATTAAATTCCTAGTTGAATACTTAATTTAAGGTTAAAGTAAAAAGTTTGCTTTCATCCGGTGGTCTTATGGTCCGGAAATCTTATGAAAGATTTATTTATTTCGACTTACGTACTATGCATTCTTTATACGACTATCGGATGATTGTCTTATGATTTTAGTTAATACATCCCAATTTCGTAATCACACGAATATTCGCACATAAATTAATATGGATCAAATTTCTGTGAAATATAATAACAAATAAACCACCGATATTATTCAATTATTTATATTGGAGGAAACAAAAAATAATTGAGCAAATAAAAATTCTTTATGAAACGTTAGAACTAATAATACTTATGAGTAAGCATAATAACAATTTTTTTTTTTTTTTTTTTTTTTTTTTTTTTTTTTTATTTTTTAAGAAATACATTTTTAAAACATATTCTATTAAATTTATTACATAAATTTATCTATCGTATTACTTTTGGACGACTTACACCGATCCCTCAATGGCTCACAATAAAGTATGATAAAAAATAAAAAATAAAATATCGCGTCACAGGTATTTGGATAATGTTGTGTAAATTTGAATAACTTCTATCGTTCGTAATGGAATAACCAAATAATCAAATAACCGTACGTTGTAAGGACTGTTACAATCCTTCGCCTATACATACATACATACATATATATGTATAACAACAACAAAATAAATAGAAAAAATAAAATAAAAATAACAATGAATGTTCATATATTATTTGAATTTAAAGGTAAACGTTAGACTCTATGTAATTGTTTTTTTTTTTTTTTTTTTTTTTTTTTTTTTTTTTTGTTTGAAATGTAAAATATCCGAAAGAAATTCATTAAAGAATGGTGCTTATTAAGCCATAGTTTAGGAAATTAAAGTCGTTAATGTTTATTTTATAGAGAAAAAAAAAATTTCATATACACTACCACTCCACTCACTTTCTCATTTTCGGAATGGCAAATTCCTTACAGATATAATTACAGATGCAGATTATGGATTAACGGTATATCTCAAAGTTTTAGAATTACAATCATTTTAATTTCGTTAATTATACCAATTGCTACAATGCAAGAAATATACGAATTCATGAAAACATTCGACTGATACAAGCCATCGCATACAAATGTCACAATAAAAATATCTGATTAATAAAGCAGCGATGTTGTGCCATTTGTGTTAAATTATATACTTTAATGCCTCTGGCATCGGCAAATCCGAATTCTAAGCTAAGCTTCACCAATTTTCTATTCTCACTTACACATAAAATGAATATATCTCTTAAGCTAGTCGGCATTATAAATAGCCTTACTACATTATCATATCTAAATTTGTACTCAAATCATCTCCTACGTGTAAAGCAAATTTACAAATCTACGATGAAATAAAGAATGCTAATCTGTCGCGCAATGAGCGTCCATGCCGAGAGGTTGACGAGGAGAGTGGTCGTGTCAAAAGTCCCAGGTTATTCCGAGCCTCAGAGCGTGTAAAAGTTGACGTCGTGGCCCTTGTGGCATCGCAGAATGTGGTTCTTCATGTCGTTCTTGTGCTTGCACCTTTGGGGACAGTAATAGCAGCAGAACCGTGGAGGCTTGCCGCACTCGAACTTGATGTGGCGCTTGAGGTTGGTGTTGTGCTTGTAGGACTTGCCGCACTGCTGGCACGTGTTCCTCGCGAGCCTCGAAGCCACGCGTTGCTCCTGCGGCTTCAGGAGGCTCTCGTAGCTCTGGATTCGCAGCCTCGGTAAGCCTGGAACTTATTATCGTCGGGTGAGTTAAGTGGATGTACTGTCGGGATAGCTTGCGAACGCTTTAACGGGGGCAGCGACAGGACTCCGTTACCTTCACGGTTCTATCGTATACTATTTTATTATTATTGTTGTTATTATTATTATTATTATTATTATATACATATACATATATATATATATATATATATATATATATATATATATATATATCGGGATGTACGGGACTCACTATTATGATCAATGGCTAATCAGCGAATTTAGCTAATCGTTCGTTATCTCGGTCGATCATACAATCTTTCTTCGTTTAATTGAGGGAGGAGGAGGAGGAGGAGAGAAGTGGGGATGAGTGCAGAGACTTTTCAACCGTACCGGATAATTGCCCTTAAATTGTACAGGAGACTAAAATAGTTTACTCGTAAGTCTCGAGTAATATTTCACAATCCATGCACACGTAAGAACAGCGTATTATTTATAGTTAACAGGGACAATGTTTATAAATCAACGAATCTTGTAAGTTGTATAATAAAATTTTTATACAACATATTTGGATACGATATTTGCGGGCAAGATTAACTATATTCGCTGACGTAGTCGTCTTGATCGAAAGAGAAATAAGGGGAATGAAAGGCCGACAGTAATTATAGGATAAACGACAAATAAAATGACAATTAGAATGAAAAGGAAGAAATTGTGCAAACGTTGTTAACTAACTACATTGTAAATAAGTATGCAGACAATAATTAAATAATAGACATAAGTTGCTAAAAAAAGGCACACGTAAACTAAGGTTAATAATTTTATCGTGCCAGTGACGTTTGAAACAATGATTTTTAAATCAATCACCCGTGTATACACACACCAGTGCAAAACTTTAATTCATCATTTGAATTTTCGTAATGACATAATTTGTAAGTTATAATTAAAATGATTATACCATATCGAGCACTGTCGTACGTATACGTTAATTTTCTTAACAATTACAATACACTAATAATTAAGTAATATTACAACGATGACGCCGTATTAATTCGATTCTCATACAATGTTCAGTACGAACATTTATCAAGTTTTTAATAAATTCACTCTTTTAATTACGAATGCACGTGTATTGTTATTAAGAGTACGATGACATTGCAAGTTGAGCTTTTTTGCGCTGCCACG